CAGCGGTCACCAGCGACGGGTCCTGCCCAAGCCCCTCTGGCTTTTCTCATCAATGTGATATCTCCAAGATTTTGCGTATGTTCTCTATAATCTAACTTACTACTATTTTTTATTTTACTAGGTCAGGCCCACTGGGCTATTTGGCTCTTGTTTCAGAAGCGACCTGGCCACAACTGATAGCTTAACAAAGTGGCTTATCACGTGGGAATTAATCGCAACCAAACACTAATCAATGTGTTCCTCTCTTCTGAGTCTGTGGTAAGTGGACTCTTACTTTCGGTAACCGTGTTCGTCCCTTCTTAGCGTAAACAAGCAAGCTACTTTGTCGTCGCCACCAAAGTCGCTCCTGGCTATGGAAGTCACCTCCGACTGAACCAAAGATGCCCTGCGCAGTCACGTGACGGCCTGCCTGGCCGGTCGCACCGACCGCATGACTCAAACTCGCGGTCCAATCCGACGTCTCGCTCGCGACATGAAGACCTGGTTGCATGGGGACGATATTAAAAAAACACACGGACACACACACACACACATGTATATAAATATATAAATACTGCTAAATTGAAGCACTTTAACAAAAAAAGATTCCCGGGCGTGTACAAACGACAGTAAATGACTTCTTCTGTCCAAAGAGACATTTTGACGTGGCTCGTTAAATGCAGATAAAGTTCACGCGATGAAGAGGCGGATTGTGAGTTTGTGGAACCGCATTTCCCAGCCGTACATGCCCCCCCCACCCCCATCATTGCTTACCCCCTCCTCCCCGCCCCCCATTTCACTCGGGTGGGGTCCAAGGGCCTCAATGGGCGCCTGTGTTGTTGATGGCTCGCACCCCCCCCACACTCCCCCCCCCCCCCCCACTCTGCCGCCCCCTCTTTCTGCCTCTCCTCTTTCGTGACTTGGGGGGGGGGGTCGCTCTTTCCAAAAGGTCTTGAACAACGCGAAATGTTGGTACAATTAAAGCTCCTGTCAGTTCAAGCACACGCGATGATGAGGATTGATTGATGGCGATGTTTGATGATTTATTATTGATGGTAATGATTGATGGTGGCTGATGGTGATGATAATTGACGTAGTTATGATTGTTTAATGGTGATCGCTGGTTCATGGTGATGTTGATTGATGATCATGATGACTTAGTGATGATAATTGGATAATGGCGATGCTTGGCGGTAATGATGATTGATGGCGATGGTCGACTCATGGTGATGATAGATAATGGTGACGGATCGATGGTGATGAAAATTGGCGAATGATGACGATGATTGACTAATTACGATTGATGGTGATGGTTCATTCATGTAGATGATTGGCTGATGGTGGTGGTGATTGACGGTGATCACGATGCATGTGCATTATGTACAACCAATGTATTCCCCATCGAGATGATTCAAAGGGCTTCCTGTTAAACGGATATCCGAGATAGTAACGAATTACAGCAGAAAGGCAGAACAAATATAAAAATTAGACACGTGTACACTTATAAACACACTATTCTAATTGACAGAGGGAACATAAACACGTTTAATTAAAGTAGCTCAGACATTGTGATGATGACGTATGTACTTCAAACTAAACTCTTTATTTTACCTGGTAAGGCCCACTGAGCTATATAGCTATTTTTCAGAAGCGACCTGGCCACAGATGATTGCTCAACGATGTCGCTGATCGTGTGGAAATGTTAAGCAGACAAATACTCTAAACGCGTGATATTGATTCTAAATGTGGAGGGGAAAACGCGACCACGGGGAGAGAAACACGCAAACTCCAAATATACAGCAGGCGTCAGGGTCGGGATCGAACCCACGACCTCCTTGCATACCAGGCGAGATAGTTAACATCTCGCTACTGCGGCTAAAGGAAGCCAGCTACTGTATGGGGTTTTTTTGAACGCAATGGGATGTTAACACGTGTGTATTCTTGGCTCGAGTACTACTCGGGACCAGTACATAATGGACAAGGCAATTCAGGAAGCAATATTACCGTGTCGTATGTGTCTGGGTGAGCCCCATCGAATCTCAAAACTCGTCTTCAGGGCGGACACGTCGAGCGCTCACTCTGATGTGTTACGAACACTTAAAAACAAAAGGCCAGAGCGAGAGAGCGGGAGCGCGCCGACGCATATTGGCGATAATAACGGCAACCAAAATAAATATAACGCGTTGAAAATCCCACAAAACCAAACAGCCGCGTTGCGTTAAATATTAATGGCGCAGTAGGGGGCGCGTGAATGATGGAGACGAGGGTTTTTGATGTGGCCAGCGGTGGTTGCTGCTTCCCCCGCCAGCAGAAGCGAGAACGTGCACGGAGCGCCAGAGGGAGGGGGTCAACCAAAAATATGAAGAAGAAAACATTTCCTTCGGATTCGGTAAAACAAAACAAACGCAAATGTTTCGAGAGTCGCAATGCACGTGAGTGAATACAAGACGGCGGTACTTGACGAATAACGTCAAACCATTTCTTTTTTTGTAATCGCTATTTTAAGAAGACCACACGCACGGCGATTTGTAATGCCGCATTACAAGCTATTGTTGGGCTTTTAGACGTTCACCGTTGATCGAAAAGAATTAGGAGGATTTTTGTTAAAACTTTGCAATTATAGTGTTGGGAGCCACGAAGCAGTCCTTTAAAGAGCCGCAGGTTTCCGACCCCTTGGCCAGGGCCAGAAGTGACGCTCGGCCCAGGAGTAGGGTTAGGGCCAGGGATAAGGTTCGGTGAAACTTAGCGTTATTAGTAGGGCAACAGGCAGGGATTAGGGTTATGATTAGGGGTACATGCATGGGTAGGGTTAGAGTTAGAGCCAGGGTTAGGGTTAGTTGTAGGCATGGGCACGGTTAGGGCCAGGTAGCGTTAAGGTTAGGGCCAGGAGTAGGGTTAGTGGTAGGCAGGAGTGGGATTACTGCTAGTGCCCGGTTAATTAGAACTACGGGTGGGGTTAGTGTCTGTTAGACTCGTGCAGTTAATGTACAACCAGTGTGTGGTGTAGGTTAGGGATAGTACCTCATTGCCTTGTTTGTTGGGGCTGTGGGTCGGGCTGGTGTCTCGAAGGCGAGTGTGCTAAGGGTTCTCTCCTTGCGTGGTTGGTTCGCTCTCGGACTGATCGATTCGTTTGTTAAAGCTAGAGGCAGCATACGCACGCTAGCCAACATCCCCGTTCGTGGCACAGTGGTTAGGCCACTTGCGTTGCGGCCAGCCCGAGTTCGATTCCCGATCACGGCCAATCAACATCGGTGACAAGCGATGTCAGAAGCCGGGCCTGGGCCTCGCTACCCGCAGTTGTACTCAACCCCTCAAGTGCACGCCTGGTGCGGTGCGAGAACCCTCAGCACTGGCAGAGACGAAAACTGTCGAGCGCGGTCCTGGCCACACCACGCCCGTCGTGGGCCGTGCCGTTCCTCGTATGGGGTAGCTGCTCACTTGGCGCAACAAATCTGTGACGGCTATTCACGGGGGGGGGGGGGGGATCTTTTACGTTCTTGTGCATCACGTGTCTTCGTGTGTGTTAATTGCATCAATGCGTATGTATCACCCGTTATATCGCCTGATAAAGCTAGTTGTAATTACTGGCGAAACGTCGTACTCAGATTGTAAATGATGTGGCTTGGCTCTCCAACACACCGGTGTGCTGTACTAGTGACGAATTGGCCACGTTATGTTCACGTGACAACCCTTTACTAGTTGGCCATAAAGCTCTTTCACGCAATGTCCTGCATGTATCGTCCCGTTGCGTTGTGTCCCGTGCCAGTTTTTCCTTCTCGATGTCGCGTGCTGATGTTCTTGTTGTCGTCTATCCAAGGGCTCGCTTGAAATGGAGACGTTTAAACCTCCACGGAATGATCTCCTGCTCTTTAATAGAGAATCGTTTGAACGCAAGCGTGGTCTTCCGGATTGAGACGCGTGTTGAACGCGTTTCATCCTCGGCTGTCGACACGCACCACCGCGGGCATGGTCCGGAAACGCATTACGAGTCGCATCGTTTGCTTAACCTACGACAGCTTCACGCTCAAATTGCAGTTGACACCATCCCCTTCATCTGTTCAATGTTTCTACAACTTACTTTTGCCACTCGACTGTGATCAATCTAAACATAATGGGTGAACATTCCCCAAAACTGTGCTGTATTTGAAATGTCTCACGTGACGCAGTTGTTTTTTTTCTTAATTTGCTTTTTTGTGATACAAGTCAACTTTTGTAAATGAGACTCTCATCCCGGTCTCTTGAGCTCTCACGTGGTTCAACAAATTCAGCTTCACATGATGATGATGGTCTCGGGCAGCACAGGCGCTGTGTCTACTACCCCGAGGGGGACTATGGGTAGTCCCCACCCAGTCACCTCCCGCAGAGGCAATTCTGTCGCAACGCAGCCAGCGGCTGAGTAACTCCCAACACTCAAGGCAATCCACATTGTATATAATACTTACAACTATTGAATCTGGAAAAGTGCTCATGCTAATAATGGTTGGGCCGGTGGCGTGGTGGTTAGCGCATTATGCTATGAACCTGGCGACCCACGAGTTCGATTCCCAGCCACGGCTAACATCAGTGGCGAGTGATATCCGAACCAGTTCCTACTCCCATACAACCTTCCCCAGCAGTGAGGATGAAGACTTAAACCGTTGAAGCTACCAACCGAGATGAAAAGCTGCAGGAAGAGTTCCCCCCCACATAGCCTTTAGCAGACTTGGGGGCAAGTGCTGTTAACGAGCATCTATGAAGGTCGGCATGGCACCACACGAAGGGGTGGTTGGCTAGCACCACACCCGGTCGCCTTTGTCTCCCTAGTAATTATGTTCACACCGCACTAGGTAATAATTTTAAGGCCAAGTGGAGGCCCAGGACCGGTTCAGTTATTCGTCACGGATGTCGCTCGTGAGCAAGGAATCGAACACGGAACGCCGGGTTCACAATAGCGCAGTGCGCTTACCACTTGCACCACCGCTACCCATACCACACGCGCGCGTGCGCATTCGGAATGCACTCCAAACACGAGGCAAGGGAAA